TGTTTTAATATTGATGATCTCTTCTGGTTACAAGCTTGGGCCAACTCCTAAAAGCCAAACTCCAAGACAGTAAATGGCAAAATGACATAAAAAACCCTAGCCATGTGTAGCTCCATTTACAATAGATACTAAAAGCGCTTGAAAGTAAATCAGATTTCCTTTTAAATTATTGTTTAACGTAACTGTTTTTAAATTTCACACACCAAAGACAACAATTTTATTAACAAATAAGTTTCCCCTCACACTTCTATGAATAGGATTTCTTAAGCAACGCTCCCTATTATGCTTGCGGCTTCAAAATCTCCACCTTGACATTCCCAGTCCCCGCTTTGCTAAGGGGAGAGGAAGTTTCACGGGGCAAGAATGGCAAGAAGCTGAGCGGGACTTTTTTCTTCTCTTTCCCCTTTCAGGCTCTGTTATTAGGTAGACCAGCCCCACGGAGATGCTTATGGAAGCATCTGCCACTATAAAAGTCTCCTTGGAACCACCTGGGATCCTGTTGAGGGTAGCCCAGTTCTGGTGGTAAAGACTGTGCATAAATAAGTAGGGGCAGAAGGCACTGTGCTTCTGCAGAATTTCCAGCTGAAGCCCTATGGTGATTCCTTCAGAAAAGCATCCCGAATTAGGCTTATGAGCCTTGCTGCAGAAGTAAAGACTTGAGATGCTCAGGGCCCCTCTCAGCCAGCCCTGATCTGGGTCTCCCCACTGTGGTTCCGGGAGCCCCTAGGGAGGGCCAGCTCAGCTCCAGTGAGGGCAAACTGATGGTGAGAAAATCTCTTTACCTCCTCTTTGCTCAACTTTCCCATCTTAAATGGAGGGTTGGAGCAGGTAACACTTTAAGGAGCCCCTGGCTAGGAAATTCTGACATTTCTTTTGGGGTACAGAAAAGAATTCCGTTAAGAGAGACACAGCACAGCCCCTGTCCCTCCCAGCCCTGCTCCCTCCTGCAGGAAGGCTGTGGCTGTGTCACCTCTGCAGGAGCCTCTTGGCCAGGCTCCTAATTGGAGGGCATCTTCGTTTGGGTGCCAGTTTCTTCCCAGAGCAGACTGCTGAGGGAACAGGGTGACTATACAGAAATAACCACCATGTTTTGAGTACCAACTGTGCATTAAGCACTGTGTGTGCATTTACCTTACTGCTTGTCCTCACAACAGCCTCTTGAGAGGGGTTTCCTCCTCTCCACAGGTGAACACGTGGGGGCCCACAGAGGCTCAGTGACCTGCAGTCTTAGGAAAGGTTACCTGTGTCTCTCTCCACCTCCCCCTTAAACAAAGGTATATTGTCTAAGGTGGCACTTTTCCAAAGAAATAGAAGACAAAGGTCACTGAATCTTAGAAAGCCGTGCTGTGGGTCTGAAGTCACAGCTGGTGTGACTTCCCCTCCAGAGTGGTTTTTTTTAGGGCTGATTAAAGATCTGAGATCTGGCCAGATGCCTCTTAGGGCATCCCGAGTCCTCATTTTCTGGGATTCTAGGATTTCAGCCTCGTACATAATTCCAGAAAAGAATTTACACTCTGCTTTATTAAGCTTGTCTGTCTGCACTTGGGCAAAGTGAGCTGTTTATCCTGTAGGGTTTTTCTTTAAAGGAGGGGGAAGAGGGAGCATGTGCAGAAGTCCATCACCTTGCTTTCCAGTTTCCAGGCAACCGTACAGGATTACAACAAGTCACATGACATCGCTGCTGCCAGGGAGAAGGGGAAAATGGAAAACGGTGCTATCTTGAGCAAGGGGCTGGGTACAAGCAAAGGACTTTGGCTTCTCCTCCAGAAACATTATCAAGTAGTCAAAAAATCTGAAGGTTCAAAGGGCTTCTCAGCGCTTGGCCCAGTCATCTGTGGGATGGGAAATGTACCACCAGATATGAGGGGGAGGGGAGAGAGCCGGGGAGTCATTGGCCCATGGTGACCCGGCACCTGTTCTAGAAACCAGGCTCCCAGAGGGGTCACTAGTGAGAAGATCCAAACGCAGCCAGGCCTTCCTGGGTCCCGTTCTCCTGTCCCTCCTTCCTGCTGAGGCAGCCCTGGGATAATGAGGGGGCAGAAGGAGATCCTTTGGTTAAAGCGGAGTCTGTGATGATTGAGGCCGGCTGGGGGGCAGTGAAGGGTCAGTGGGGACAGCTGGGAGGGGAGGAAAACCACCCAGGGAGACCAAGGTTCCACTTCCTTTTTTAAAGCCTCCTCTTCCTGATCGTTGTTTATTTTGATTTTGGATGTTTTGATTTTTTTACCTCCCCTCCCCCACATTGTGTGTGTGTGTGTGTGTGTGTGTGCAAGTGCACACACATGCACATACACATGTGCTGCTGTTCATATCATAGACACTTCTACAGCATCCATTCCCCTCTGTACACACTTTTGTTCCTATAATACCCTCTGTGGCCTAAAGACTCCCTGGAGCCATGACAGCTTTGCTTCTGGCTCTCCTGGGGTCGAGGAAGGGGGTGGGTGTGCCCTTGGCCATGGGACCCACATACCAGCATTCCAGAAGGTCAGGTTGTGAGACAGAGCCGACCTGAAGTGGACTGGCTTCCAGTTTCCTTACCCCAGCAGTTGTCCCAAGGCAAAGATGAGTCATTGGGCTGCACTCTTTCACTGGCCTTCCTGGCTCACCCTGAGGTGGCCATTTGTCACAGCCTGACTGCTGGCCTTATGCTACCTGGCTGCCTGGGGAGGTGAGCCTGGGGAGTCAGACCATGGACACAGAGAGGCAGGTGTTGGGCAGGGAGATGCCACCTGCCTTGGCACCCCACAGCTGCAAAGTCTGGCAACATGGGCTGCAAGCCCTCTAGCCCCTCGGCACAGCCCCATCCCCTGGGGGCAGTAAAGCAAGGTCCCCGCTTGTCTTTCCAGCAGCTCATGGGTGGTAATCTTCCTTTTCTTTTCCTAAGGAAACGTAAAGAGACACACTTCTTGTATGTTTCAAAGTTCTGAAGTCCTCATGACAGGTTAGAGGCATCTCTGCATTAAAAATTATTTGTCATCCACTAAGTTCAACGAGAAAGTAAATAAAAGAAAAAGAGAGCAGAGTTAGAGAGCCAAAGCTTGGCACAGCTCTGATGATGCTGGCTCCTTCTTCCATTTCTTGAGTAAATTTGATTGACACCTTTATGTTTTTTTTAAGAGGAGGAAAACTTAATTATTAGCTCATCATATGAGGGACCATTCTATAGCAATAGATGAGTAAATAAATAATGTTCTAGGCTTGTGACATATTTGCTTGTTTTCTTAAATGAGGAATGAAAGGCGTGTTTCTCACAAACATTATTGGGGGAATGTGTGAAGTAATTCAAAGGTGACAGTGGGGTGAGGAGTTTTCAATACATTAAAACTGTGGGTGGAGGGGAAAAAAAGCATTCCATGTCTGTTTAATATGTAACATATGGGAGGATGGTGGGGGATGCTTGCAAGAGAGTATTGGGTATGCAACTGTTGCAGAAAGATGGTCGATGTGTGCTCAAGGAGGGTTCTGATGGCCAGGTTGGGAAGCTGGAAATCTTTAGGGTATTGGGGCAGGCCTACTAAGGAGGTGTCAGAGCCCAGCTCCAGCACTCAGGCCTGTGCTCAAAGATTCACATCCCCATCTTCACACATCTACAAATGCACGATGGCCCCAAGCCACACTCTTGATACATGTGCGCACAAACACGCACATGCCTTCTGCACATGCCTTCTAGGTCCGGGGCCGGGTTTGCGCTCACCCTGTGACACTTGTTAGTGGATCCCAGGACTAAAACTCCCTTTAAAAGATTCTTCAAGCCCAAATCCCCGGGAAACTTGAATAGAAGTAGAAAAGTGTTTGATGATAGAAAAAAAATCTGCTTGCTTGCAGTTTTTGCAATGGCCAGAATGCTACAAAAAAACTGTTGCTTTTCCAAAGCTGGGGAGGGCGAGGGCAGGAAACCAGAGAAAAGAGGCCTGAGAACTTGAAAGACTGAACCAGAACTCAGGCTGAGAGCGCCCCCGGGGCCGCGGAGGCCTGGGAGGGGGCTGAAGAGCACCGGGATGGGTTAACGCTGGAGCTAGGCTTGCGGCGGGGGCTGGCCAAGCCGCGCGGGCGGGGCGCGGGGCGCTGTCCCTTTAAGGCGGGAGGGGCCGGCCAGCTGAGCGCGGCTGTGATTGGCGCGGCGGGATCACTGGCTCCGCGAGCCCGGCCTGGGGGAGTCGGCTGCAGCCGGCTGCTCTTTGATAAGGTCCTGGCAACTCAGTAACAACCTCAGCGCTGGGAAATAAAAATAACCCCTCCTAGCAAGGGATTTCGGGGCCGCCAGCGTCCGAGGCGCCCGTCTCCACAGCCGAAAGCCCTGCTGTAAAAGGTGGGGGTGGAGGCGCCGGCCCCAGAGAGCCGCTTCAAAGAAAGCCCCCCCCCCTGGGACAGGGGGCGAGGTCGCGCCGAGCCGCGTGGAGGGCGCCAGGGGCGGGAGGGGTCCGGCCCGACGGAGACCGGACCTAGAGGGGCGGTGTGAGCCACACGTCCCCGAGGAGGGGTGGAGGGGGCGCGGGGGGCGGCCGGGGCGCGGCCGCCCCGTACCTCCCTGTCAGGACCGTGTGCTCGGCTCGCGCCTTTGAAGTGCACAGTTAAATCCACAGCGCAGTTTTTGTTGGAAGCGCCCGGAGGACATTTGGTGCGCGGAGTGACTGCTGGAAACAGGACCTGTGTTGAAAGCAGGGCCGGGCGGGGGCCGGAGGGGCCGGGGGTGGCCGCGGCGGGGGCGGAGGCCCACTCAGATCTTTTGCATAAAAGGGGCGGTGGAGCGCGCAGCGTCACCTCCATCGCCGGTGGATCTCGCTGTAATCCTGGGATTGTTGTTTCCCCGCGCCCCCTCCCCTGCCTCGCGACTCCCCATGTTCCCCGACGCCGGGACCGGCCCGGGGGGGCCCGGGGCTGCCGCTGCGAGCCGATCCGGGGGCCGGAGCCGGGGCCCTGCCCGGGACGCCTGCGAGGTCTTGCCGCGGAGCGCGCGCGCGGATCAATGGTGAGTGCCCAGGCCGCGGCGGCCGGGCGGCCCGCACGCTTTGATGTGCCTGGCGGCCCTTTGAAGTTGGCAGGCCGGCTATTTCGGGGCGCGCTCCCGGTTGGTGCGGAGGGGAGCGGCAGGCCGGGCGCTCAGCGCTCTCGGCGCTCCGAAGGGCTTGGCCCGGCCGCCCAGCCCGAGACCCCTCCCCAGCGGGGTGGCGGGGACCCCAGCGCGGCGACTTCTGCAAGTGGCGGCGGGGGCGGAGGGGGGCAGATCGCCCCGGCGTGTCGCCTCGCTCTCGTCGTTGTGGATGGGACTCGGGGTGTAAGTGTGCGCGGGAGCGCCTTCGGAAGGTGGGATGAAAGGGTGGCGTTGCCCCCCGCTTGCTCTCCTCTCCCCCCGCCCCACCTTCCCCTCCCGCCCTCCCCTCTCAGCCACTGGTCCGCGCTTAGGGGCTCCGAGCGCTCGCCGAGGCTCAGTCTGCGCGCTGGAGCAGCCCGAGCCCGGGGTGCTCGCGTCCCCCGCGTCCCTCCTTCCCGCCTAAGTCCCGCGCTCCTGGCCGCCCCGGCCCCCTTTGCGGAGAGGCAGGGACTCCGCGCGTCGCCATTTCTGGACTAGGCTGCTGCTTTCCGTGGTTTTTCTGCGGGCGCCTCTGTGAGCGTCGGCGTCGGGGACCGATCCGCATCCGGGCTCGGGGTGCTGCAAGTGCTTCCCGGGTCTCCAGCCCCTCGCTCGGCGGCGCGTTCGCCCGGACTCTGGACGCGTTCGGTTGGATTTGGGCCGGGGTGGGAAGGGGGGCGGGCCAGAGGGGCTCGGCGGAGATGAGAGCCTGGCCTCGGGCCGCCTTCGTCTTCCAGGTAACGGGGCCGCCCCACCTTCCCTCCGCCTGGGTAACGCGGTGCTACCGGCGGCCCCGCCACTCACCCGGCCTAGTTGCCCAGCCTGGCTGCCTGAGGCCCCAGGTGGGGGGCCGCCCGCACCCACCCCGGGCCAGGAGATCGGGCCGCTGGTGCGAGGTCGCGCCCTATTCCTCCGGCACGCCCCTGCCCTTCTTAGTTCTATCCTTCCCCGTGCTAAGGAAATGCTTGTTTATTGGTTAGATAAGACTTTTTTCCTTTGGAAAAAAGACAGACTTGAGGCCAGTACAGATTGGGATTCTTGGCATAGTCTAGTAGCGTGAGACGGTTTCTGATCCGGTTTTGTGGGGTTTGAGGCTCCAGGATGTTGGGGGGCGGTGGGGACGCCAAGTTCTGAGGCTTCTCTTCTTGCAAAGTTTTAAAATCAAACTCGCAGCTGAGTGATTTCTGGTTTGGGAGAGAGGGGGAGACCGAGGTGTAGACTGAATCAGATCGTAGGCGGGAGGCGGGGGAGCAGCGGACATTTACATCTGGATGGGGAGGGGGGCGTTTTCCAGCTGGGAGTCCGGGAGCCCATTCCGCCCCGTGTGGGGCGGGCTTCTTTCTCAGTCCAGGATCTTCTGAATTTTTAAGGAGTGGGAAGGGGGAGTGCAGAGGGAAGGGGCGGGTGGGGGGAATGGGAACCAGATGCCGGGGAAGGGCACATTTGGAGCTCGAGTTATCTGTGCCGAGAGCCGAGTGGGGAAATTTACCGAAATTGGTTTCACCTGCACACAGCCCAACGGCCCCGAGTGCGCGTCTTTGGAGTTGATGCTGGGGGGACAGCGGGCGGGGGTAGCTGAGCGGGGAGGCGTGGGCTGGGTGCTCCGCGTGCGCCGGGCTGAGTGAGCTTTTGGAAGGTTCTGTCTTGCACCTCCCGTGCCCCTCCGCCCCCACCTCCCACCCTCCGCGCGCCCATCTCACCTTCCCCGCCCCTCCCCCGGCCCCAAGTGTGCAGGGAGCTCAGATTTCGCCTTTGACAAAGCAGCGTCTGATACTTTAGATGAGCACCTCGCAGATAGCTGGGTTGCTTGATTTGAATTTGAGGAGTTGAAAAGCCTGTTTACTTTCTTGCTTTGATGTTGGGTAGATCTGGTTTTGATTATATCAATACCCTTTTCTCTCTCTCTACCTCCCCCCTTCCTTTTCTTTCCAGAAAGGAGGCTCAGATGAGCCCCTGCTGACTTGAGAGAGAGAGACCACGCTGATTGCTGAGAGAAACTGGAAGAAAAACATTCCCAAACTCCGTGAGAACGCCCTCACCATGAGTAGCGCTGTATTGGTGACGCGCCTGCCAGACCCCAGCAGCAGCTTCCGAGAGGATGCCCCTAGGCCCCCAGTCCCAGGGGAGGAAGGGGAGACCCCACCATGCCAGCCCGGGCTGGGAAAGGGCCAGGCCACCAAACCCCTGCCTGTCTCCTCCAACGCAAGGCGGAACGAAGATGGGTTGGGGGAGCCCGAGGGACGGGCATCTCCGGATTCCCCTCTGACCAGGTGGACCAAGTCTTTGCACTCCTTGCTGGGCGATCAAGACGGTGCTTATCTCTTCCGGACTTTCCTGGAAAGGGAGAAATGTGTGGATACCTTAGACTTTTGGTTTGCCTGCAATGGATTCAGGCAGATGAACCTGAAGGATACCAAAACCTTACGAGTAGCCAAAGCGATCTACAAAAGGTACATTGAGAACAACAGCATTGTCTCCAAGCAGCTGAAGCCAGCCACCAGGACATACATCAGAGATGGCGTCAAGAGGCAGCAGATTGAGTCCATCATGTTTGACCAGGCACAGACCGAGATCCAGTCCATGATGGAGGAAAATGCCTACCAGATGTTTTTGACTTCTGATATATACCTCGAATATGTGAGGAGTGGGGGAGAGAACACAGCTTACATGAGTAATGGGGGCCTGGGGAGCCTGAAGGTCGTGTGTGGCTATCTGCCCACCTTGAATGAAGAAGAGGAGTGGACATGTGCAGACTTCAAGTGCAAACTTTCACCCACTGTGGTTGGCTTGTCCAGCAAAACTCTGAGGGCTACAGCGAGTGTGAGGTCCACGGAAACTGTTGAAAATGGATACAGGTAAGACTTTGGCAGAGGAGTGGGGGTGGAGGATGATACAGACCCTGTACATGCTTTGAGTTAAATAAGGTGGATGGCTGGATGGATAGCTGACAAAGGTCTGTTGAGAGCTAAGGGCACCTGGCTGTGAACCATGTGATCTTGCTCTTGTTTAAAGGGGGGAGAAGTGATGCACACACAGCCAAATACCTGCAGTCTTCTTGTGCTCACTTCAAACAGTGACAAGCAGTATTCATTAATGCGGGTTACTTATTATCCTAGGCCAGCCTTAGAAGGGGTTGAGAGAGGGAGAGGACAGCAGCTTTTGATGCCTCTGAGTCACCAAATACACACTAAGCACCAGTTTTAGAAGGGGTCATTCACCACTCATCAGTAGAGAGTGGAATTAATGTGGCTGGGGAGGCACAGAAAATGTGTGCGCTCATTGGATGTGGGGTAAGTGGGATATTCTGAACTTATGTGTTAAGATAAGAGTTTGCAATTGGTTTAACAACTGAGCTTGTGGTTCTCTTTGTAGATTTCATTATTTATCCAGCAAGAAACCCTCCTAACTAGGGAAAGTCCTGTGACTTTCCTAAATTAAGGATCCTTAGCTTTAGAGTCTGCTGCCATATTAATATAGGTTTTAAATGTTTCCAGCCTGAGGGTCAGACCTCAGTTGATTATTTTGTTGCTTAGGGCTGATGGAGAAGAGGTGTTGGCTGGCAGTGCTTTCCCCTTTTGAGGCTTCAAAGACACAGTTCTTTTCAGAATAGCCAAGTTTTAAGATTCAGACCTCCAGCTAGAATGAGTTTTTCTTTCTCTCCCCCCCTAAATAACCAAAATGAGATTGAGCCTCTTAATTCTAGGTTGCTGCTTACAGCATTCAGGGGAAGGGGGTGGTGGTGTGGGCAAATTGGTTGCTGTCTGGCGCGCTTATCTTGATATGATTGTGCATTTCTCCATGTGTCAGGAACTCCATGTGTCAGGACAGGCTCCTGTGACTGCCTGTGTGGAGATTGCTCTCTCTCTGTAGGGTAGGGCCCCCAGTGTCCCCTAGCCGCAGGAAGGGCAGGGTAGCAGCCCTGACCGAGCCTAGAAGCAGTGCTTTAAGGGAGGGAACGGCTTGTTCGTAACCACCAGGGGGCGCCCTCCCAGCCTTGGAAGCCGACACTTCAGACATCTATCTGGTCGACACCTAACTGGAAACGGATTGGCTTTTGAAGGGATGCATAGGATCACGTGAAATGTATTTCCGGGAAATTTAAGCATTCAGTTGCAGATTGATTTGGAGGAAGATACTGGGTCTGGCCTCCATAGCTGGGCAGTCACGGGGCGCTGCCACTAAGGCCGGGCTGTCAGGTGAACCTTTGGGTAAACCCCTGGGGGCCTTGCTCTCCAAGCGGCAGTAGTGTAGCCGAGGCAGCTCAAGGCCTGTAGTAAGACTGCTTCTCCAGGAGCTTCCTGACAGTGGGCCCCTGTGCCTCCGGGGTCAGGACCCGGAGCGCCACCCTTGTAAATAGCACTGTGTGTGGTGTTGGATGTCAGACAGGACCCTGCTGCGACCCCTCCCCATGGTGGGTGGGCAGTAGAGACCCAGCCTTGGTGTGGCCCTCCCCCTCCCGCAGGCCTCAGCTGGGATATATTACTGGGATTAAATTTTTTGGAGATGACTCTTCTGAAGCTTTTGAGATCCTAGTGGCAGCAGCCAAAGAGCCTTAGTGTTTCCAGGGCGGCCTTCCTGGTTGTGAGCTGTGGGCCTAGTTAATATATAGGTGACATCTTTCAGCCGCCTCTTGAATTTCTATACTATATTCATGTGTGTTTTCTCCCACAGTTGGGTTGAAATGAAGTGTTTTACTGGACTCCATGAAGTGCATATGTCTTCACTGGGCATTTCAAAGACAATGTAAGGCACATCCAATTTCATTCTAACACGCAGGGTATTCGAATTTATGTGTGGTGTACTGGGAGGTGCGCTGAATTACACAAAGGCCTGAATTCCAGCCCTGTCCACCACTTGCTACCTGGGTTGAAGTCTTTCTGTACCCCGTGTACCTGTCTGTAAAACGAGTGGGTGCCATGCCTTGTGTTTATGTCATAGGCTGCTATTTGGATCCAAGTAATAAAGATGAAAGCCTTTTGTAAAGGAATGTTTTGAACAGATGTGAAGTGTTACCGTTAGTATAATTTCATAATGATAATAACTGAGTCTGTGAAAAGGGCAAGCAGGTGAGGATATCACTTTCGAAGAGAGACTTTGAAGTTTCATTAGAGTATTCCCCCTTGGCCTGCCTCAACTGTCTCTACTTGTTGGACTTAAGTCTGTCCTTGGGCTAGTCCTGGGGGTGCTAGGGATTTGTTCTAACTCTTTAAGTCTGCCCGCCCCTCCCAATACACTCACTCATCAAGTGAGGGACCTGGCATAGGAATGGGCTTCATAAGTCCTGTGAATAAAGGAATAACACAGAAAACACTAGCCCTGCGGAGGGCCTCCCTTCGTCACAGTCTTGGTAGCTGCAGGCCAAGAGCATACTGGCTAGTTTTCCAAGCCCTGTGTTTACCTTGAGCACTCAGAGGAGCCTCATTTTTAATGACTTGTTTGTGTCCTTACTGATTGGGTGTCAGTTTTAATATAAATAGTTGGAACGGAAGAGCAGGAATTACCCTCCATGGGGAGGACTCTGGTCTGCGAGTGCTTGAGTGGGATGCCTGTGCTTTTGATGGTCTCTATAAATAACCTAGAGCAAGAGTGATCTGGCGGGAGAAGCACGTGTAAAAACCCCAGCCACAGACACACACACAGTGCCGAGGTGTGTGGGGTGGGGGGGCTGTGGGATTAGGAGCTCAGCCCAGCATTTATTTTGGGAAGAAGACAGTGTTGGGTGCACAGAGCACTCCCTGTGCCCTGCCCTTTCTGCACCAGTCCTGGTACAGGCCCACGCAAGGCGGGTCTTGTTTGTCTCCCATGGGACCCTCTGCCTTGGCCTCACTTAAAGACAGGCCAACCCAGCAGATGGCCCTCTGCTGGCTCCAAGTGCTTCCTGTTTTCTGAAAGAACTCGCTGATGAGACCCGTTTTTGTGCAAAGCCGTTGGAATCAAGCTTGGCTTCAATTATCAAAGAAAATGATGCCATAGGAAAGACATGCTGGAAGCAGCAGTCCACAATTAGAAGATGGAAGTTCTGATGAAGGCAGTTTGCTAAGATGTACTTGTAAAGTTTGCCTGCTTCCTAAAGGCCCAAGTTACCTAGTGCCATCTGAGTGCCAGGCCCATCACTGAATGCCCCTTGCTCTGGCCTTGGAAAATGCTTGTTGAAGAGAGTGTGGCCCTCTGGGCAGTGACTTTGAGAGTAAATTGTCCGAGGGCCTCCAGAAAGCTCTGAACACACAGTCCTAGCAGAGAATACTTTTTAGGTTGCAGCAAATACTCAGGTTGCATTGTTTTGAGAGAGGACCCAGAATGAGGGCTCAAAGGTCAGTTCCATTGTGCTTTCTGGATGGAGGCTTTGCACTGGTGTGTAAGGAGGGGGCAGGGGCCACAGCATCTCATCAAGATAAGAGATAAGAATTGGCCCGGGGAAGGAGGGAGGGTAGCAAGCATTTCCCTTCCCTTAGGGCCCCTGGAGCCTCTGCTACCTGACAGCTGAAAGCTCTTTGTACACTGAAGTTGCAAACTAGGTCTGTGGATGCAGGCCCAATGCAAATTCTAGACCATAGGCCTCCACTCTCCCTAGGAATTTAAAATCCTTGCAGCAACTGGGAGCACAACAGTCCTGAAGAAATAATCAAAGCATCTGGGTACAATTACTGTAGCACGGTTGAGTTTCTTTCTGTGTATGTGTGTGTGTTTTGAAGTAATCACAAGAAAAGAGCTCTAATCCATCCTCTTAAAATTATGTGGTGATTTTGACAAAGTTCTGAATTCTTAAAAATTGAGTTTCTGTCTCTCCCCCACAACCCTGCCTCCTTCCTCTCTCTTCATCTTGCTACGATTGTAGGAAAATCCAAAGACTTTCTTGCAGTCAGCTGAGCTCAGAGTGGTATACTCCATTTTTAATTACTGTCACACAGTAGCCCTCTGTTTGGGAAGCAAGTTTATTTTGGGATCCATGTGTTTGACAATGAGCGCAAAGCTCTGAGGACACGTGGGATTGGAGTTTAGGTGCCTTTTTTGTGGGGGAGGGAGGAATTTCTATTGAGTCATTTTCTCCCTGAAGAGGCTGAATTATAACCGTTGAGTTTGGGACATTGTTGTGTTAATACCACAAAGATGGCCACACTGATGGGATGGAAAGAGTGAGTGCTGTTTAGGGCTGTCCTGGCCTTTTTGATCTTGTACTGTGCCTCTTAGACTCACGGAACTTTTCAGCCACCCATTTGGTGATCCCAGGTGAGGGTCAGCAAAGTTTGGCCTTTCTGCTGCATGCCACAAAGCACTCTCAGCACTGGGGAGACCCGTGAAGGAGATAGGTCGGGTCTGTGCCATCGTGGAATGTACAGTCTGGTTGCGCAGGACAGGTATTCAGCCTGCAAACACACCAACACTGTATGATAAGTCATGGTAAATGACCATGGCAGAAGAGAAGGACCGCGGAGCTTTGGGTGGGTGGGTGGGTGTTTGGAGCATAACCATGATCTCCCCAACTTACAGCCCACGTGTTAGACCCTTCAGAGAATGTAAGACCTTTGTGCTGATGGCCATGCTTGAACTGCACGATTTTTAGGTGGTTACCCCATGTCCATGGAGGCCACGATTCGTCTGTGGTCACTTAACTGGCCAGCAGCTAAGCCAGCACCAGCTCTGGGCCTCTTGATTTCCGTCCCTATCAACGGCTTGCAGAACTTATTACTGAGTTCCTGAGGGTAGAAAGGGACCCGGAAGAAGTTGCCTCATCCATCCTGCTTTGAGGCAGTGGCCCCACCCAAGCACCTCGGGTAGCGGGGAACCTTGAGCTGTTTTAAAGATGAGGTGATTCCATGACCTGCCCGTGCCCATTCCGTGGGTCCACTCTGTCCATTAAGATGTGCCTTCCTCTTTCTAACTTAGAAGCCCATGTCCTCTTACTCTGCCTTTAGTGACAATGCCAAACAAACCATCCATTCCCTCCTTTTGGGTTCCCTTATCAACTAAGAGACCTTTTACTAACTCATCCCTCATCCCTTCTCCAGAAAAACCTACCATCTTTCCTCTGCTCTCACCTCTCTCTAGCCCTGCTGCCTGGAAATCCCATACTGAGCACATGGGGACCAGTTCTAAGGCAAGGAAGATCTTGCCACCTTCATCTCATCATCATAAAACATCCTGGGAGGTGGTGAGACCTCTTGTTGTTAACAGAACAGGGCCAGAGTGTCCAAGTGACAGGTTAAGGCCACTCGGTCCAAGGTATTCAACGGGCTTAAGGGTGACGTTCCTCACTTGCACTTTCCAGTAGTTTCTATACCTATGTCACATTCCCAAGATCTGACTTGAGGTTCCAGCCTAGCTCAGTAAAACACAGTCACGGTGCCTCCTAACATCCAGCTGCTCCAGGCGGCCACATGTGGGGTCCACGTGCCCCCATCTCAGGCCCCTGCATGGGGCTCCATCACCTCCTTGGGCAGCAGACATTCCTTGAGCACCTACTGTGTGCTGGGGGTACAGCGGAGACACAACAAAGACCCCGCCCAGACCATGTACTCAGTCAGTGGCAGTTCTCAGTCTTTATTAATGTCTGTCAACTGAGGTGTTGGGTTAGATAATGTCTCAGTTTCCTGCTGGTTCTAAAATGTTATGACTCAAAATGGAACTTTCCTTGTTTGTCACCCCAGCTAGAGTGCAAGCTCTCACAGACGTGAGTTGTCCCTTCCACCTTCTTTTCCATCCCCATGGCCCCCCGTTGAGGCCTTCACACCAAACCACGGCCGCAGCTGCCTGCCCACACCCGGCCCTCCTTCCAGTTCAACCTGATAACACAGCATGCGTCACTCGTGCTGCTGGGGTCACCCCGGGCCCCTCCTCTCCCTGCCCTTCTCTCACTGACCTGTCCAAGCCCCTCCTGCCCAGTCTCGGGAGGACCCTTCCTTTTCCCCCATCCTGAGGCCACCTCTCTGAATTCCTGCTCACCCATCAAGGTTCATCTTGCTTTCACCTGTCCCAGGGAGCTTCCCCCACCACTTCAGCCAGACATGTCCTCTCCATCGTTAGCTATACCAGGGTTACCTCTACCCAGTCACTCATCTGGTCTCTTATTCTAGAACTTTTTACAAGGTTGAGGCTAGTCTTGTTTTAGGAGGAAGAAGGAGAATTTGAGAGCCACATAAATCAGTCTCATGCCCAGTAGTCCCTGGTCTGTGATCTGGGGCAAGCTGCTGTCCTATGGGCCTAGCAAGGGTGCATCTGACAGCGGACAGTGCTTCTCGCCAGGGGGCTGGGAGGATTAAATGAGATGATGCGTGCAAAGGTGTGCCCCTCTGCCTGGGCCTCTGAGAACACCATGTCTGCCTCCCTCATGGTGCCCCCACTACCACCACCATGCCATGGGTGCCAGGAGACCAGAGACCCAGGCTGGATACACCCAGAGCCCTGCACACGAGCCCCGCAGACACATGCAGATGACTGCTTTGACCTTCTCTGGGCTCCTCTCATCTGCCAACCCAAGGTCATCTTTACAGACCAGCTGTAGTGGTCCAGCAGAATAGGTTCTCTTTTCTAAGCCTCTCCCTGCAACTCCAGGTGATTTCATCTGACTCAGTGGGCCGGTGGTGATGCCGGGGTCTTTGTAAAGGAGGACTCCTGCAGCCTAGGCTTCGTGGGCCTCTTCCCCCTGCTCCTCCCACTTAAGTCCCTCACTGGTGACACCAGAGGAACGCAGCCCAGCAGGGGACAGGCACACTGGTTGTTCTGGGAGATCAAGAGGGCGAAATGGGAGGCAGAGGCCACTGACACTAAAGGGCGGGAGACACTGGAGGAGGGGCTGGACCTTTCTTTGAAGCTGCTGTGCTGCTCATTTGAACCCTGCTGGCCTGGCCAGCCCTGGAGGAGGAGGCCGGGTGGGGGAAGGGCATGGCAGAGGCCCCACTCAGGGTGTGGTGGAAGCCCTACACGGTGTTCTCAACTTCTCTGTCACATCTGCCCAGCTCACTGGGCCCAGGGCTGACAGGAGAAGGCTGTGCCAGGCCTCTAGCTGTTTGAAGCTATGCTGGCAGACCCCTGATGCTTGAGATGTCCTGGGGCCCTGAAACTGCATTCTTCCAGGGCAGGAATGAGAGGGCACTTCACCTCCACTGCCTACCTCCTCTCTTCCACCCCTAAAGGAGTCTGTTCCATCCTCTGTAAGTATGGCTAGCACTCCGAGGCTCCCCTGGGCTGCTGTGTGTTCCTCTGTCCCCCAGCAGGCCTGCTTTTGGCAACAGAGGACCCAACCTCCTTTCTCCCCAGGCAGGTCTGTGGCTCAGCAGACCTCCCTCCTGGGGCCCCTGCCTCCGCCCAGGTGAACCGCTGGCCTGGGCAGCAGGTTAGCATTAGCAGGTGGGGGCTGTGCACCAGGTTGTCCTGGGCTTCCAGTGGGACTCGGCGATGCACTGCTGTTGTACTTCTCCTGCAGGTCCTTCAAGAGGAACGATCCTGTGAATCCATACCACGTGGGTTCGGGCTATGCCTTTGCACCAGCCACCAGCGCCAATGATAGCGAGATATCCAGTGACGCGCTGACTGATGATTCCATGTCCATGACGGACAGCAGCGTGTAAGTATTCAGGTGTCCCTGTCGTGTACATGGTTGGTAGTGTGACACCCTCAGGCAGGCTGGGAAGAGTCCTCAGCCATCCATCCTCACCTGGCTTTGCAAGGTCCACCTGTGTGTGTGTGGACATCTGCTTGGTAGGAGGGGAGGGTGCCGGTGGTGAGTGCTGGTTGAGGAGGTTAGTGGTGAGAGTTTGGGTGGTAAAGCTTAGAGCCTTGCAAGGGAAGTTGGGTGGCACCTTAGCAGAATAAACTTAAGTAAGGTAGAGGTTAAAGTGAGTATCTGTAGATTTCTTGTGCTTAAAAACCCATCATCTGGTTGTCATACTGCCTGCCCTCCCCATGGACAGAAGTGCTTGGATGGTCTTAAATCCCATGTACCCCATCTGCAAACCAACAGGTGCCGTTAGAAGGATTCGTGTTGAGGTGTGCATTGTTCCTGGAGGACGAGGCATTGAAGAGGGGTCAGAAAGCCAGAGCTCTCTCAAGGGCCATCGTGTGTGACTGTAATGTTCCCTCTTGGTTGTGTTCACATGGACATCTTTCAGTTGAAAACTGTTGGCAGAGTGCCTACTGTGTGTCAGGTTCTACCACTGAGTAGGGGTTCTCTCCGAAGTTGTGCCTGATCTTAGATCTTCTGCAGATGGATGGATGACTTTGATTTCTGGAAACAGAGCAAGTCATCATGTGGTCAGTCTGATGAGGTCCGCAGGACATCCTGTGGGGTCTTGCTTTGCATTTTAAGTCATTCGAGGTCAGGCAATGGGGCTCCCTGGGTCGGTAGCAGGGAATCTGAGCCTCACTCATAGGGTGTGCGTGTGTGTGTGTGGTGGGCTGGGTATCCCCATTTCCTGCTGTCCTTTGAGATTCTGATCCAGAATACCTGAGGGACATAGAGTCTGGGTCACGGCAAAACTCCCCCTGAGCTTCTCCCCCAGCATCCGGTTGAGAAGCACCATTCTAGAGTTGGTCTTTGAAGGCTTCCCACACGTTTTGAAGTAGGTGTCTCTCCTGCCGCAGGAAGAATTTTGAAAAACAAACCCACTGAGGCTTTGAAGTTCTGCATAGAGATTCTCCTTTTCTGGACTGTCTATCTTTCCAGTTTGTTTGAAATTACCAGGTTGCTATTGGCCGATGTCCTGTGACTGGCCTGTGGCATGGAACCAGCTGGAAGGAAAGTGGATGAGGTTGGTTTAGAACTTGACTGTTCATGACTCCGGTGTCTTTTACTATGTTGTCTCAGATTCCCCTAATAGTAAAAGGAGAGAGAGATCCTTAAGGTGAAAGTTTCCATTTCAAAAAGGAATGGCATTTTGGCATTAGTGAAAAATAGAATTAAGAGTACACATCTTTCATCCAACATGGAAAAATGAAAGGTTCCACAGAAGTTTTCCATGTTGATCAAACTCTTTAATATCTATACTTGAAAAAGTTATACTTTGATGGACATAATTCTTAAAATAATAGGTTTTTGCTCTGCCTTTATTAAATAGTATTAGCCAGGCATAATTTATTTATTGATTCAAATAATTGATATCAGGATCTATTTTCATACTCTGTGGTAGTATCATTGCATAAAATACTCGGTCATATAAGACTGTCTACCCCTGTGTGTGCTTTTTAAAAATAGCTCCTCTTTTCTTTCTTGGTCTTTCTGCCTGCTTTGGCTTTTAAGTGCTACTGTCTGTGTGCTTGCGTTTAGCAGCATTTCTCCTTCAGCTGTTCTTCATCCGTGGGTTGCGTGGGAGTCTTAGCATTGTGTGTAGAATAGGAGTAAGTTGGATTTGAATGAGGGCATTGAGTGAATCTCCTAAGTCAAGTGTAGTTTACCTAAGACTCTCCCGCTTCTGTTTAGTGTTCTTCGAGACTGTTTTTGGCTTGCTTCCTGGCCCTTACTTGCATTTCAGTCCCCTTGTTGAGGTGTTACTCTGGGCTCATGAGGAAAGAACTTGGGTGTATTCCCCATACGTGTTTGAGCCTCACAAGATCCAACTAGGAAAGTAAGCAGACACCTCTGACTTTTACAGATGGGAAAGCAAGGCCCAGTGCTTCTGTAGCTACTCATGTCAAGTCGGAACTCAAATCCAGGCCAGACCTAGGCCCCCCGTCCTTTGCCTGTTAATCCCTCCCCCACAAGCATGAAAATTTCCAACGTGAGATACATTATTAGGACCAGGTGATAATGAGCGGCTCCGAGTTCCTTTTATATTTTATTTTTTAGGGGTCACACTGCTCTTTCTATAGTAGGCCGGGGGAAAACTAGGAGGGAGGAGGTTCTAAGTTGCCCCCGCGTGCTCCCTTTACCCCTCTTTTATTGCCTTCCCAGAAGAAGAGCTTTCTCCATTTTATTTAGAGATGACGTTACATCTCCCTTTCCCCATCCAGCTACAGCCCTTCTGGACTTGAAGCTCGGGCAGGCCTCTGTCAGGGGTCAGGGAAGTCACCTTGTGAGCCGGCTGTTCCAGTGGGCAAGGACTAGCATGTGGGCCAGTCAAGTCCACTTTGATACTGGGAAGAAGGACAGGTCCCCCTGGAGCAACTGTCTCTTTGGGGCACAGCAGACACTTGGGTCCCAAGCTGTAGGCGCCCCCCACCCCCACCCCGGTGTAGCCACTACAGAGCGGTGATGAGCGTCACTGCCTCAGGAGATGACAGGAAGCTCGCAGACCCAGGGCCCTGGTGTTGGACCCTGATGTTGGCGTTGGGTGACTCTGAGGCTCCTTCCAGCCGAGTGGGCAGGTCCCCCAATGTGTTTGTCACAGCTGTACTCACTTGAGCATGTTTATTCCAACTGGGAGCACATTGCTCATCCATGTGGGATCACCCCCCTGGGAGCTGTTTGTCTAAGGCTATTTGCCTCACGCCTCCTGCTGTGGAGGACAGAGAGGTTCCTGGAATAAGAGCCCTTGGGTGGGGTGCATGTCCACGCTTTGGGGTTCCTGTGGGTCTCAAGAGGGTGGGCGCTGGGGGTCCCCGGGGCCCTCCCCACTCTCCTGCCCGACAGACTTGGCGTGCCTCGATAGCCCAGGCTCTGAGCCACTTTCTGGCCGGTCGGTCCTGGGTGTGTATGATCCACCCAGTGTTGGGCAGGTCACCCGGGATTCCCAGGGCTGGGATTAGACCCCTCTTCAGAGCTCTGCCAATTGTGGGCCTCGCACAGATGAGAGCGCTGAGTGAGGGAGAAATAAAGTGTGTGGGGGATGAAAAGCTGAACTGAATCGCTTTCAGCCCATTGTTCATCCGGGGAAGCTCAGAGGGGATAAGAGGGTAGCAGGCTCCTTTGAAATTTCCTTGAACCAGTGAATAGGAGCGCCCCATAAAGCATGAAAAGAGCCCTGGCCAGTTCTCCTTGTCACAATGGCTGGCTCAGGCTGCAAGGGGGGCTGCCAGGGGCTGGGGAGCGGTGCTGGCGGCCCCGCTGGGCGTTGGGGCGGGGACGGGCTGGGGAGGGGGGAGAGAGGGTCGCAGGCGGCCTTCAATAGACTCCAGAAGGTTGGAGTTCATTAGACACAAGCCTGGGGAGGCAATCGTCTCATTTGCGACAGAACCAATTAAGTCCCGGGGGCCTTTGCAAGAGGCCCGAGTGGAAGTTGGGCAGAGCTGGCTCGCACTGGGTCATTCTGGGAGCTGCACACGGAGCTTTGAAGAAATCATTGCCTTCTCCAAAGCCCTCTGCTGACTCCTGTTTTGCTGCTAAGTAAAAAGCCCTGTTAACATGGCTGGGGATTTGGGTTTTCATACTAGGCCTCTGAGAGGCTGTTTTATGAGGGTGTTACTCAGAGACCTACATTCTTGGAGGAATAACTTTTTAACTTTTTTTTTTTTTTTTTTGTAAATTAAGCTGCTATACTTCCAGAAAAGTCCCTTGGAGGGGTGGGGGTCGAAAGGCTGTAGGGCCATTCCAGGGACTATCAGGCCTAGGGGGATGAAGTCGGTGGGACTGGAAACCTCTGAAACTGCAGGTTCTTGCTGCCCAAGTGTGGCTTCTGTCGGAAGTGGCCAGGTGCTGTGAAAGCTATGTCCATGGCAAGGAATCATGTCTGTCTCTTCTTTTTTCACAGAGCTGCTCTTAGAGTCTAGATCGGCTTGATTTGTGGGTTGCTTCTGCTCTGGGTGTCACATGATCACAAGATGCTTTCCTTGTGTTTCACGCAGAGGGTGGCACAGGTTATTTAATTTATTTATTTGTATTTCCTTATATCTTACGGGGTTTACTTTGGACATCAGGGAAAGCATCCGAGCGAACTTCAAATATTATCTCATCTTACAAACCAGGCTTTTGATGTTGGCTGTGATCAGAGACTGCCTTCTGAGTGGTTGCCAAATGAAAATATGAGTGGACGCGTGTGTCTGCTCTTACAGAGCCTCCAGAAAATGACATTCAGGTTAGGCTGGGCACGGCGGAGGCAAAAGGCTAAGCTAATTGGCTTTAGGTGAAATGGCAGCTAAGTGGAGTCCACATGTCAGGACCAGCGCTCCCCAGAAACAGCTGGCCCAGCAGCGGGCTTGTTAGCTGAAATGTTTATGATCGAAGGAGACTGGACAGGGCACTCTTTGGCTCAGAGTTCTGACATTAATTCCTGGCTAGGAAACTGATAATGGACTTTCAGAGCCTGATTGAAAAGAAGAGAGGTCCCCTTCTGGAATGAGGGGCTGTGGGCTGTCTTGGACGAAGATTCTTGGCTGGGGGGAAGTAAAGCCGCATCTCCATGAAGGCACCTGTTAAACCTCTTTGAGCCTCTGTGAGTTGAAGTCTCCCTTTTCTGCTCTGACCAGGAGTTTCCTTTCCTGTAGCAGCTGCTTCACCTGCCAGGGTAGGCAGGTGGGCAGATGGGCGTGGGATGTGCTTAACCAGTCATTAATTCCTCACCTGTATCTCCCTCCCCACAGTTCTCTCTTCTTTCTTTTACCTTCCATGGAAAAAGAAAAAGTGGTATAAAGGCCTTACCACTGGTGTCCTTCTGGGAACAGAAAAGATTGAAGGCTATCAAAGGACACTGAGGGCAGAGGCCTGGAGGGATGGGGGCCCCTGGGACTCCTGAAGTGTGTGTCATCAGAGGCATCTGTGGGATGCTTGATTCCTGTCCCCCAAGATTCTCAGGAGGAGGCCTGGAGCAGAGCCATTTACCCTGAATAAATCCCTGGAAGAGTTGCTGGTCAGGAGCTGGGCTGCTTAGGCCAGCATGGGACCCAGTCTGTGGGACCCCCCTCTGTCACCCCCACCCTACATCGTGCCTCCACTGTGATCTGCACTGTGCCTTGGGAACCACCTGCCCTGCCCCACAGCCAGTGAGTGAGTGGTGGTAGAGGGCTTTCTAGAGTGTTCCCCACATCTTCCACTCACCCCGTCAGAATGTCAGGTGACTTGTGGGGCTGAAGAAGTGGTGCCCCCATGTTCATGCCCTCAGGAGGCTTGCTCCTCCAGGGGTTCGAGTGCAGGGAAGGACACGCATTTTCTGGGGTCCAGCAATGGCTTGGATTTGGGTCCTGGATCCGGCTGCAACTGATTGACTCCAGGGAGTGACAGAGCATCTCTGGTCATCTATAAGATGTGGTGAATTGGGCTTTTTGTGAGAATGAAGTTGGATTATGTATCAAGTATGTCTAACTCACAGGAGGACTTGTACACAGGGGCTGGCCTTGGGTTGGGGTCAGTCACTGGGTGTGGAATTTGGTAACGGTCAAGCCAGTCACGTTCATGGAAACCCAGTTTTTCCCATGTCTTATAAACGATCCTATGATGGAACATTGAGTTTTGGTAAATTCGCTCCTGGTGGTGCAGCCATTTCGGGACTTAGAACCTTTGATCATACGTGGCCTTTGAGGGCCGAGTCAAGTCCTAGGAGGCAGTCTGAGAGCTTTGCTGGCACTGGTCAGCAGCTCTCGCCCTTCTGCAGCGCCTGCGTGGGGTCCTCTCTCAGCCCGTCTCGGACAGAACTCGCACGTGGGTGGACGCCTTTGCTGCAGATACTGATCTGTTCTCTCCTGAATCCTCCATACGATTATCCCTGTTGTGCTTCTTAACCAAGGTTTGGCTAACAGATCAGTGATCTATTGATCTACCGTGATCTGCACCATCCCGCAGGGGCCTTATTCTGTGGCCTAGATCAGTGGACTTATGGAAAATGCAGCTATGCAGTGTTCTAGGGCATTACAGATAAGGAGCTCGAGGTCATACAGTTACCCCTGGCTGCTCCTGCGTATTTTTAGGCACAGCTGCTGATGAGCCAAAGATGTTTTTCTTCCCTCTACCCTGTGATGAACAGAACACCAGGGAAAGGGAAATAACCAAATACCTAATTTCAATATTTACAGTCTCCAAGTATGATGCAGGATGGAAATGTGGGAGCCCTGAGGCTTTTATAAATAAGTGGCCTCCAGAAGAAAGAAATAGTTATACCTTGACCATTCCACTGCTTTCAAGACCAAAATTCCTTTAAAAAAAAAAAAAGTAGCAACTCCAGGTCATGTTTCCAGTGAAAAGGAACTGGGGTGGAGGACATAGGGGTGCATACTGCCTTCCGGTCTTTGCTCACAGGTCACCTTCACAGTGAGGTGAAGGCGGAGAGGCTCTCTTGAGCGCAGGGCCCACAGGAGCTGGAGCCCCACCCCCAGCACCATTTAAAATGGCAACTCCCTGCCCGACCCCAGCAGTCCCTTCTCCCCGTTTACTGTGGTGTATTTAATCATGGCACTTAGGTCCTGCTAACATACTGTAGATTTTGCTTGTTTATTTCTGCTTATGGGCTGTGCTACCCCATCAGCTTCGTAAGGAAAGTTGTCTGCATTTTTATCCCCTTCCTTCACTGCTGTCTTGCCCAGTGCCTGGAACAAGGTCTGGCACATAGCAGGGACTCAAATATTTGAATGAATTGCACAGAAGACCACATAATAAGGGCTTTCCCTTATGCCCACAGAGGTCATGCATCTTTGAGAATTTGTTGGTTGGGGGTGCTAGGGTTTGGAGCTAAAGGAAGGAAGGAACGTAAAGATACCCCTGTGGTAATCTGGTGGTTGACTTGGAGAATTACATGTATGTTCCCTAATGCCTGGCCTCACCCTCTGTGGGTCTGGTCCTGTCCCTGCTATATTTTGCCCTAGTCCAGGCCATGAGGCCCCAGTTTCCTGATTTGGGGTAATACTTGGTAGTGGTAACAGACTGTAGGGAGCACCGAAGGGACCTTAGAATGTCCTATTTGGAGAGCTTTCACTCGGCCTGGGCTGGCTGGAGTGTGACCCGGTTCTAAGGCAGGGGCCCAAGGGAGGAGCTCACCAAGCTCTTTGCAAGGTGATGATCCTGAATCTGAGAGGGAGCCAAGCTCCCAAAGATGACTGATGGCAGGTTTAGCAGCTTGATCTCAGATTGCTGTTTCCCGTGGGAACAGCCGTGGCATGGGGACGGGTGGTGGCACATTCACATGGAGGCATGTGGCCTTGTCCACTGGTGGGATCACAGGATAGCTTGTGAGCCGGCAGTGTGCTGAAAGCATCCTCAGGAGCCTGTGGGTTCTGTCTTTTCTCTTCTCTTAGAGATGGAATCCCTCCTTACCGTGTGGGGAGTAAGAAACAGCTCCAGCGAGAAATGCATCGCAGTGTGAAGGCCAATGGTCAAGTGTCTCTACCTCATTTCCCGGTGAGTAGAGTCTGGACGGAGAGGCGGCCGCAATGAGCTCTGAAGACAAGGGCTGGGAGGCGGAGGGGGGAGGCACAGGACAGGTAGGAGCAGCAGCCTGGGGTCTGCTAGAGGGAAAGGAGGGGAGGGGGGAGCCAGGCAAGAGGCGCTCTGTGGTTCCATGTGACCCTGAGCAGAGCAAAGCTCTGAAGATGACATACTTAAACATTCACATTTTCTCAGTTCAGCAAGAAAATTCTCTACGAGAAAAAAGTAGGCTGTTCCTTCCCAGAAAGCAAGAAATAGTTGGAGATAATCCGTGTTCTCACTGGGTTCCCACTAGAATGTAAGCCCCCTGAGGGCAGGGAGTTTTGTCTGTTCTGTAAGTTCCCATCCACAGAGGAATGGGACCTAGCACATAATGGGTGCCTAGTAAATCTTGTGGATTGAATGGATGAATGAGGACACCAGAGGAGTCCCCGCTGCCTACGGAAGGAAGATGATGTCCCTGGGGCATTCTCCTTGAGTGGACTGCGCGGCTCTGTCCTCTCAGTCGTCCACTCATCTGTCTGCTTGGCCATTCCTCCTGCTGACCTCTGAAGCCTGCAGGACAGCTGTTCTGTTTTTTCCAACCCAGAACTTGGCCTAGTCCCTGCTGTGGAGTCTGCACCGAATGAGTGCTCACCAAAAGAAGTGTTTGGGATTGAAGGGCCCATGAGCACTGGCTTCCAGTGATTGAGATGAGAGGCCAGCATGGTGGGGAAGGACTTTCTGGGACTTCCCCTTCTGTTTCCAAATCTGGGAGGGCAGCCAGCCCCTGTGGGCCCTGTGCTCAAGAGGGCCTCTCCACCTGCATTTCAGGAGCTGTGCATCATACACTGAGAACCAGGTTGCAAGCAGACTGTTCCTTAGGGAGGGAAAGAGAGTGCCCAGCTAAGAGTGGCATCTCTGTTTATGACTCCTTCCTGCCAGCTTCACAGAATCTAATTGGTCCTTCAGTTATGTTGCATTTAGAAAACAAACACATCACTTTGCTAATCTGTGTTGCATTAGTGCATGAATTGTTGGCGGAGCAGTTCCTCTCCAAAAGCACCTCACGTGGTCCAGGGCTGACTTAATCTTGTCCTAAATTAGCATATTAAGGTTGTTTTGGGTTGCCTCCAGCATCCCCTCTTCAGTAACAATACACCCATATACAGCAATATTGATTATACCAATTTTTTTTGGCTGGACGGGGGAGGCATGTGTGCTAATCAAAGTTCGACTGCCCAAGCTTGTAAATTAGATGATCTTGTCCTGGGGTGCGCAAATCGACTTTCTCCACAAGGCAGCGCTTTGATCGGGGGCCACCTGGAGCTGGCCCTGTGAGAAGGCCGTCTCCCACAGAGGGGGTCCTCCGCTCCCCTCCCTCGGGTCTGCCGCTAAGTTGTTGCCGTGGCCAGGCCCACTCATGGCGGGAAAGGCAGGCCTTTGCAGGCCGGCTTATGCTGCCCCCACCCCACCCCTAAGGAAAGGGCAAAGCAAGAGGGCGATGAGGAAGGAGGGGGCAGGGAAGACAGAAAGCCGGGCAGTGGGAGTCCTTTGCGCCTGCTGCTGTTGGCCGGCGTCCCTGGTGCCTTTTTACATTCAGTACCCGATTTGGAGATGTTCCCTTCTCCCGGTAGATCAGCTTCCGGCAGCCGGACTCAGCAGTGTTCTGCTACTAGCCTGCAGCATCTTCCTTCATTTTCTGTACAAAGAGATGGGGAGGAGGGGTGGAGAGAAACGAGGGGGATCCAGGACAGTGTTGAGACAACACCACCTCAAAGGTGCACGGTGTGAGGCCAGGAAATAAATTACCACTCCTTCTGATCTGGCCGTGGGACTCCCTTTTCTCTCTCTCTTTTTTTCCCTTTTCCAACCCCCCACCTCCTTTCCAATCTTATTTTTGCTAATTTCCAACTCCCTTTCTGTTGAGACTCTACTTTTTATTCCTTGGGTTGGTCTCCCCCGGCTCCCCCCACCTCAGAGGGCTGCCTTTTTTTTGATGTTTGACAACAGTCTTTGAAGATTTTCTACTTCAGAGTAACTACTGATGGGTGGTTGTACTACAGAGAGAACAAGCAGGGCCTCTCGGAGTGCGACCAACTGCTCCTGCCCAAGGCAAACGCTGGTGGGGACCGTGGCTCTCCATGAGGCCGCGGCGCTGGCGCATAAAACTCCGGAGCAGCCTGGGCCGCCACGCCGTCCGCGCTCTGCCTGGACGTGGAGCCACTGTGCGCCTGGCCGGGCCCGGCAGCTCCGGCCGGCCAACCTGGCGCTGGCCTGCTGACCACGCCTCGCCTCCTCTCTCCCCGCTTCATGTAGAGAACCCACCGCCTGCCCAAGGAGATGACCCCTGTGGAACCAGCCACCTTCGCGGCCGAGCTCATCTCCAGGCTGGAGAAGCTGAAGCTGGAGCTGGACAGCCGCCACAGCCTGGAGGAGTGGCTGCAGCAGATCCGAGAGGTAGCTGGGCTCTGCCCCTCCCCGGGCTGGTCCCCTGGACCCACCTGCTTACTGAGCCGCTGCCCCCTCCGCCTTCCCTGCCAGGATGAAGAGAAGGAGGGCTCCGAGCTAGCACCCGCCCCACACCCCCTCTCCCTCCTGCCCTCGGGCAGCTGTGAGGAGGACCCGCAGACCATTCTGGACGACCACCTGTCCAGGGTCCTCAAGACGCCTGGCTGCCAGTCCCCCGGCGTGGGCCGCTACAGCCCAGGGTCCTGCTCCCCCGACCACCGCCACCAGCCGCACCACCCGCCCCTCCCGCCTGGGGGCAGGCTGCCCCCCGCCGCTGCCTTGCCGGCCAGTTGCCCCCTCGGGGCCCGGGGCTTCGTGACCAAGCAGACGACAAAGCATGTCCACCACCACTACATCCACCATCACGCTGTCCCCAAAACCAAGGAGGAGATTGAGGCAGAGGCCACACAGAGAGTGCACTGTCTCTGCGCCAGGGGCGCCGACTATTACTGTTACTCAAAGTGCAAGAGCCACCCCAGGGCTCCGGAGCCCGTGCTGGCAGAGCAGCTGGGGTAAGTGTCGGACAGACCAGAGTTGGGGCATCTCTGTAGCCAGAGCCCTGGGCATGTGGGAGGTAAGGTCAGAGGTCACAGGCATTTACTCCAGGGCAGGGCACAGGGCGGGTGGGGCGCGGGGAGCACGTGCTCCCCACCATCTGCCACACTGCGCTGTGGGAGGATCCCAGAGATGTAATGGGGTCTCTGGGGTGGGTGTGGGTCTCGGTTCCCCGCAGCAGCAGAGGCAGCGCCCTGCCCAAACGCAGCGGGAAAGGCATGGAGCCCGGCCTGGCCTTGCCGGCCAGGGAAGGAGGGGCCCCAGGCGGAGCTGGGGCGCTGCAGCTTCCCGGGGAGGAAGGGGACAGGTCGCAGGACGTCTGGCAGTGGATGCTGGAGAGTGAGCGGCAGAGCAAGCCCAAGCCCCATAGGTAAACACCGCTGCCGCCGCGGGCCACAGGCAGTCACCGCGGGGGTACCGTGGGGATGGCTATTTTTGCAACTGGCCGAAAACAAATGTGACTATTTGCTCTGCCATCTTAATATTAAACATTGGACTGAGCAGACCACAAAAATGCCGTGTTTTGGCAACACCCCCTGTTCATGTTATGGCAGAGTTATATTTTTCTCCTCTCCCTGAAAGCAGAATAGAGACTTTTCTATTGAAGTCACATTTTCCAGTTTTTCTAACCCAATTTCTTTCCCTCTGCTTTCTCCTTGCTCCTTGTTCAGTGCCCAAAGCACGAAAAAGGCCCACCCTGTAGAGCCTGCCCGCACCTCCCCAGCCGAGCGAGCCAGCCGGCACCACCTGTGGGGAGGCAGCAGCGGGCACCCCCGTGCCACCCCCCGAGCCCACCCATTTACCCAGGACCCTGTGATGCCTCCCTTGACCCCCCCCAACACCCTGGCCCAGCTGGAGGAGGCCTGCCGCAGGCTGGCCGAGGTGTCGAAGCCCCCAAAGCAGCGGTGAGTGGGAGAGGCGTCAGAGGTGAGGGGCAGCCCAGTACCGGGCTCCTGTGGGGCTCAGGATGACTGTTCCCAGGATGCCTTACCGGCCTCCAGGAGCCCCTGTTAACACGTGGTCTTGGGTGGGTGTCCCCACAGATAGAAGTTGGATCGGTGTCTCTTCAGGAGGCCACAGAGAGTGGTTTTCTGTCTGCTTCCCATTTGCCCTGGGGCCAGGAGGCTGACCTCTGAATCTTCCGCTCAGGTGCTGTGCAGCCAGTCAACAGAGGGACCGGAACTACTCAGCCACTGGTCAGGCTGGAGCCATGCCCTTCTCCAACCCAGTCCTGGCTTCAGAAGAGTGAGTGTCTGCCCGGCATTGTTGAGATCCGCCCAGCAGTTGACATTTCAGGATATTCACTCCCTGTTGTTGAGAATTTTGAAAACTTTCTTTAGTATATAAAATCACCTTGGTTTTAATGTTAGCAGCAAGGAACATTTAACACAGAGATGCTGCCACAAATTAGGATCCTGAAAATCCTGCCTGTTTTGAGAAATGCATCATGACTTGTACACAAGTGTCCCTTCCTGACATGGTGGGCGGTGTCAGGGTTCCTGGGCACACACTAATCAAAAGCTGGGACATGAGGCCATTAGCAGATGAGTAAATGGGACCACAGACCCGGATGGAAATGTTGCCCCTATTCGGCTTGCACATTAGCAAGTTAGCAACATCTTTGTGTCACACTGAACAGGATGGAGGAAAGCTGATTTCTCCTCCATTATGGAGATGGAGACAGGCACCTTTGTTGTTTTGCTTGGAGCAAACAGCCTATCTTCCCCAATTGTGCCATGATTCTTTCTGTAAATTTACAGTCTTGCAAAGTGGACAGAGAAGCCTGGCTTCATTTAATTACAGGATGGTGCATTTAAAGAGAAATCTGCTGCTGCGATCTACAGTGGTCTAAATGATTGAAGTTCTCTTTCTTAGCTTCTTCATCTTGAGCAGTGAGCAATGTTTGAAGACCTGAATGAGCCACCACCCTGGACCCTTTTGTTTTGATTGGTTGATCTTAAGCCTACCAGCTATCTAGACCTGCAGCATTTTTCTTTAAAGCCATTCTAACCAACTGGGACTAAATAGGGGAGTTGAAATGACTCTGCGCTACTCCTCTGGTGGGCTCTGGCATCCAAGGTTATGCCATCCCAGAAGGTGCTTGGGGTTTGTCTCTGCAGGGTTCCCTGACTGGGAAGAGTGCCCCTGCGGCTCCCTGGTAGACTCTCTTCTCTTCTCTTCATTGGCAGCACCTCATTTGTGCCAACCTGAAACACTGCTCAGTCCACCCATTGGTAGTGAAGGAAACAACAGCAGTTTGTACAACCAAAGGGAAATTGTCCTTCCCTGTGTGCCCCATGCAGGCGACCTGGGGTTGATTGTGTGTCCACTAGAGGTGGCTGACACTCAAGCCCCCTTTGAACTTACAGCTGCAGCCACATTTTATTTCTGTGGGCAGTGTGTAGAGAGGCTGTGTGTATGCATGCACGCACGCACCTGCTGCCCTCAAATGCTGAACTTAACCACATTCTGTCTTATTTTCAGTCACAAAGAGCCAAAGAAGCTGGCAGGGGTCCCCGTGCTCCAGGCCAGCGAGCTGGTCGTTACTTACTTTTTCTGTGGAGAAGAAATTCCATACAGGAGGATGCTGAAAGCCCCGAGCTTGACCCTGGGCCACTTTAAAGAGCAGCTCAGCAAAAAGGGAAATTATAGGTAAGAGTCCTATGGCTTCTTGCTCCAAAGTTTGTTTGCTCAGAACCAAGAGCTAGAGCCCTTCCATGGCCTGGGCAGATCTGGGAAGGCTTGGGGGGCTCTCAGGAAGCCCCAGGGAGGCCATGGAGTGGGCTGCCCGACGCTTTGTTCTTGCTCTTCTGCTCTGTCCCCTCGCCACCAACAGAGACAGCACAGTGGCAGGGAGGGCGCTGCGGCCTCATGGGGAACGGGACTGAGGGGAGGGGCGCTCAGGGGAGCTGGGTTTGGGCCGTTTTGTGGAGGTTCTGCCTGAAAGGGAGAGAGGTGTGAGGAGACAGACAGACAGACAGACCGACTAGGAGACTGGAGGCTACCCTCCTGGCGTGGGTCGAGGAGAGACTGTCCGCACAGAAGGCTTGGGGACTGGCAGAGACCACTGCCTGGACATGGAGGCTGACTTCTCACTCAGCCTGTCTGCCTGAAGAACGGTCTCACTCTGTGTGACGGGGCACGTGAAGCAGGAATGCGCTGTTGTCTGTACCAGAGCAGGGGTGGGACCCGCGGGTGGGCACCGGGTAGAAGGGGCTGGCTGCCCTTCCTGCTGGCCTCACCGCCTGCCCCACCGCTGGGCCTCAGGGAGGGAACGTGTCCTCTGGCCGGCCGGCCTTTCCCATCTGCAGCGGAAATGCCAGCCCTGGGCCAGTTCCTGGTCACTCTCCCCTTACGGGGCAGATGACAACTCCATGGTAGTTTGCTCAGCATCCTACCTGTGCCTCTGGATGGCCTTCATCCCAAGGGAATATGTGGGTTCTGCTCCTGGACCCAGGTGAGTCCACCTCTGGTTCCCTGAGACCCACAGGTCCCCACCTGGGAGCTGGTCTGGACAGGGGCCCAGAGGGATTCCTTCTTGGAGGAGGGATGGGGTTTAGGGGCTGGGACCCTGTAGGCGACTGAGAGCAGGGTGTGGAGCTGGGCTCGGCTCTTCCTTCCACACCTGGGCAGAGACAGTTCTGAGAATGTATCCAAGGGCTTGGGGAACGGGCCTGGCTGCGCTGCTGCTGTTTTTTTATCCTGAACAGACACAAGGTGAAACTAATTACACAAGTGTGCCCCTCCAGGGATTCATTTTGATCTCAGCTTTGACTCAGCTGGGCTTTGAGTGGAACTGCAGGTGACCTTCAGGGGAGAAGGGCCGCAGAGCGCCAAGCAGAGGCTGCAGGGGAGGCTCCACACTCAGCCGCTCCGGCCACATCTGGCTCTGATTTCTTTTTTTCTAAGGCACACTTAATAAGCCTCTTTGAAGCCCCGGCCTCCCCTTTAATGCACAAAGACTTGCACAAATGGTTGACTCTCAGATTCTTTGCTGATTGGGTCAGGCTGTGGCAAGGCCCTTCCAGCCGCTGCTTCGCCCTACGCTTGCTCTCCGGGCCAGAGCTGCACCCACTGCCCTCCTGAATGGGGGGCACAGGCTGTCCTGCCTCGCCCTTCCATCGGGGCTGGTGCTCCCACATTTAGTTCGCATGCCCACCCCTCCACCCCAGAGTAAAAAAACCCAGCAAGGAAGGGGCTGTGGAGTGGGCGCCTGAGCTGTGTTGAGTAATCTCAGCATGGCAGGGGTTCAGGAGAACAGCCCCTCCAGACGTGCCAGACGCTATTGGTGCCAGATGTCAGAAGAAAGCAAAGTTTGCCACATAAAGCATGTTGCAGTGGAAAAGCCCGTTTCTTGGAGAAAATGAAGGCAGCACAGTGTGTTTGAAGTCTTGGGGGTGGGGCCGAGGGAATGCTGCCTCTCTCCTCTCTGGAAGAGGTTGCAATTATGTAAAAGGTCATTGTGTGTTTGCTTGGAGATGCTGTGGAAGCCCAGGTTGGTAAAACCCCAGGCGGGTTGGGGCTGGGGGCAGAGCGGCATACTGAGGGTGGTGTCAGAATGTGAGCCTCTTACTTGGAAAAGTACCTTTTTCCCACTGTCTGGGGTCTCCTGTGCACAGGGTTCCCACCCCCCAACTTTCCCACCGTCTCTCAGGCTCCCCCGAGCTCTCTGCCCTCACCACGCACCCCCAACACTGCCCCTTTAAAGGCAAGCTGTCCACCGATTCTGTGGCTCAGCTGGGAATGCTAAAAACAAAGAACCTTGACTAAACCCAGCTGTTTCACTTCATTTAGCCTTATCTCCTAAGAAAGTATTTGGCTTGCCTTCATTAAAGAGCAAAGAAATTTAGCTCTGAGCAGGCGGAGTTTTTTTTTTAAGAGAAAAGACAAAAACAACCATCCTAACCTTGAGACACAATTAAACTTTTAGAGAGGCTGTCCCCCTCCCCCAGGGGACTGTGACCTTCCCTCTGAGTGGCCTTTATTGGCTGGAAGTGACAGCTTGCGGGAGCGAGTTTAATCGGCCTGAGGGGCCTTCCTTGCTGTGGGCTGGGAAGGAAGAGACCTCAGCTTGGTTCCTGGGAAGGGGCTCCGGAGCAGCCGGCTTGGGGACAGCACTTGTTTCTAAATGTGATTCTACTGAGAGAGGCTGGTCATTGACGTCCAGACAATTAAACTGACTTAGAAGAGAGGGGCCTGGGATGGGATGAAAGACCCTTTAATCAGCAAACGTAAAGAAAGGGCCTGTAGTGTTTGACCCTGGAGGGTGGTATGGGACAGGAGGAAGGGAGAGAAACAGGGAGGAGTGGGGAGCCAGGACTGTTCCCAGTCCTGGGGAGGAAGGTTGGCCTGGCTGCCTTCTGCAGTGGCCACAGAAGGAACAGCCTGTCCCATGGCCGTGCCAGACGCTGGCCGGAGAATTGGCATATGGGCACTGGAGGATGGGACAGGCAAGAGGTGTCGGCCTTCCACAGACTTGAACAGGGTCAGGGTGGCTGAGTCTGGGGTCTCTGTCAGGGACCCTTTATGGTCACTGCTGCAGATGAACTCCCGGCATGCTTTCTCCTCCCATCCCCCACTGCCACCCCCATAAAAATGGGGAGGAAGAAGCAGCCCTACTCTGCCAAGTGTGGACGTGTGTGTCAGGACAGCAGCGGCTCCGGGCTGAAGAGAGCACTTCTGAGCTGTTGCGGGTGGGAAGCCACCCAGCCTGCCACTCACGGGGCACCTGCCTCACTTCCCTCCCAAGACACGAGGCCAGCCCCCTGTTGCCATCTCAGAGCAGATGGGCGGGGTTAGCACACACGCCTCTCGTGACAGAATCCTCAAGATACCGCGATCCTCAGTGGTGACGTGCCTTTCTTTTAAACGAGAGCAAAATGCCAGTTTACCAAGATGGTTTTTTTGGGTTTTCCTTTTAAGGTACTACTTCAAAAAAGCAAGCGACGAGTTTGCCTGTGGAGCCGTTTTTGAGGAGATCTGGGACGATGAGACGGTGCTGCCCATGTACGAAGGCAGGATCCTGGGCAAAGTGGAGAGAATCGATTGAGCCTTTTGGGGCTGGCTTTGGCCAACCATGGGGCCGAAGCCCTCGTGGCCCGTCTCAGACGTGAGCGACTGCAGTAGACCATTTTGAAGGAGAACTAAACCAATGAAGAAGACAAAGTCTAGGGAAGAATTGGCCCCTTGGCCTTTGGGGAGGGTGGGGGGAGGTTGGATTTCATTATTCATGCGCTGGGTACTGAGATAAGAAAAGCCTGAACTATTTATTAAAAACATGACCACTCTTGGCTGTTGAAGATGCTGACTATCTGAGAGACTGCCATACATAATATATGACTTCCTAGGGATCTGAAATCCATAAACTAAGAGAAACTGTGTATAGCTTACCTGAACAGGAATCCTTACTGATATTTATTGAACAGTTGACTCCTCTATCCCCAGTTTATGGATATGCTGCTTTAAACACGGAGTGGGGGGAGAGGAAGTTGTAATTGTTCCATCTAGGAGTTGGGCTAGGAGTGCATTAATGAGTCCTTCCTTAAAAGAGGAATTATTATGCTTTGCCCTGCGTTTCTCCAAGTGAAGATAGACTCTCTTAAATGGTGCCCTACCATTGACACATGCAGAAATTGGTGCATTTTTTCCGTGTGCTGCTCTATTTTGTCATAAAAATCTTGGGAGTTGACTTAACATCGCAACACCGCCACTGTTTTGGGGTCATCATGTTGGATGGGATGATCCGTTGTGCAGGAGGGAGCCTCGTTTTGAGGGCCCCAGCTTCATCCAGTAACTTCTTGTAGTTCCCCACCAAGGCCCACTGCCCAGTCGCTGAGGCCTGCTGGAACCTTGTGTTTTAGCGTGTGCTTTTATTGAAATAAGAATTCCTTGGAGGTTTTTTTAAAATTGGTCTTTGGACAACAGCCATTCTGGAAGCTTCCCCCACCACCACCCCACCCCAAAGAAGTGGACAGTTATGGGAAGACTGAGCAGCACCCTTTCCTCCAGACCTTCGTTTTGACGTTCGGGTTTTTGTGTTAAGTTAATGTGTACATTCTGTTTGCCATTGTTACTTGTACTATCCATCTGTATATATCGTTCGGCAAGAGAATATTAAGCCACTATCTCTAGTGCTTGACGTTAAATAAGTACAGTACCTGTACCTGCACGGCATCCCAGCCTGTGTATGTCGCCCTGTATTGAGGGCTCAAGCTTTCCCTTTTTTTTGGAAAGGGGTTTATGTACAAATATATTTTATGCCTTTTTATTACAAGTCTTGTACTCAATGACTTTTGCCATGGCATTTTGTTCTACTTATACTGTAAATTATGCATTATAAAGAGTTCATTTAAGGAAAATTACTTGGTACATTAATTATTGTAATTAAGAGATGTAGCCTTTATTAAAATTTTATATTTTTCAAAAACATTGGCCTCGTCTGTGAACCCCTGGGGTGCGTGCAGGGCAGAGACGCCCTTTTGTATGTGAACGTCTGTGCTTGATTTCTCATCTCTTTTTACCCAGTCTGGGCCTGCCCTGGGATTTTGAAAAGTGTTCTTCAAAAGCACCTGGTTACCAGCTGAGCATTTTCTGGTCATGGAGCTGGCTATAGACAGCGTCTCACCTGTGTCCTCCCTTTTAGCTCATATTCAGCCTCTTCTGCCCAGTCAGATATCTCCAATCTGGCCAGGTAGGTACAGGGAGTAAGGGGCTGAGATGAGGTCTTCCCAGGAATACTTGCATTTCAGTAGGCATCCAGACCGAAGCCTCTCAGGAAATGGTGTGTAGATCTGGAATGTTCAGTGGGGCCGATGAACCTTGGGCTCGGTGCTAACCAGCCACCCTCCCGATGGCTAAGTAGACCTCATCTACTGGCTTGAACAAGGACGTGGGCTTCATTGAGGGTCTGGGCTGGAAAGGTGGGAACAAGCAGCAGGTGGTTCCGTAAGAAAGCTGCACCATTTGCTGGATAGTTTGGTCCAGGTGCCCAGGAAGTCGGCAGGCAGTTGTTCACGCAACAAACACACAGGTTCCCTCCCTGAGTGCTGGACACTAGGAGTGCTGGGCTTTGTTTCAGATCTGGAAGAGCAGGTCTATAAAGGAGTCCTACAATCTTTTTAGAAACGAAGTGTCTGTGACTGTAGTTCTTGTGTTCATGGGCTGGGGTCTGCAGAGCATCTGCTTGGCTTTTTGTCCCTGATGCAAACTGGCATGAGACTGACTGGGTAGCATAAGGCCAGGGTCCTGGCTGTGTGGGGCCAGGGGCTGACTTGAGCTGGGCAGCTGCTGGGGGAGCCAGGGAGGGTTTGAGGGTGTCTGACACTGAGTGACAGTTCCTTGGTCGCTGTGCCCTCCCCCTCCAGGCTGGAGAGGGGGCTCACCGCAGAGGCATTCCCAGCCTACTCTGGGAATGGAAGCTGCTTTC